TTTTTTTTTTTTTTTTTTTTCCCTCTTCCCAAAACAGCTGTGCTGCCAAGCTCCTCTGTTCATCCCCCCCACCCCCCCTTCCCTTCCCTCCCCTCCCACTCCCACTTTCTTCTTTAATCTCTCTCTTCCATGCGATGGAAGAGAAATTCTGCCCCCCGGAGACTCGCCGCGACTCGTGTGCGCTTCCCCCCCAGCCCCCTGCCTTGCTTCCCCGGGGAAATGTGTGATTTGTTTTGGTTTCCAAACCACTTCATCCCGCTTCTCCTCCCTTATCACTGGTTTTCCGCATCAAGACCCTCATCTGCGAGGCACGGGGTGCCTGACTTCACGTTGCCTTCCTAAATGTGCCCGGGAGCGCAGCCGGCACCCCGGCGGGATGGGAAACTGGGGGAGCTCCGGTGCGTCCCACACATCCCTCCCGTCGTTCGCGGAATCCTTCGGTTGCTGCTCCGCCACCGACTCGGACCCACTAGGAAGAATTATTCCACAGTATCAGTCTGCCCTGTTTTTCACAGAGCTAACAAGGGAGCCTGCACATGTGGGTAACTGCTACCAACTTTGGGCTGCCTTCTGCTAGCACCCCAAAACCCCTCAATTCCCCTTACGTCAGCCTCGAGGGAATCAGGGCCAGGGGTTTCTGCAGTGGGCAGATGGTATGTGAGGGAGGGATAGAGAGATGTAGTTCACAGTCAGAGCTGTGGCATAGCTAGGAATAAGCTGCATTTATCAGGATTGTAGGAAAAAAATGGGGTGGAAGGGACTTCAGGAGATACTTTGTAATTTTTAAAAGTATCTCTGTTATTTAGATACTTGCCTTTTCAAGTCATCTAAACCCCTTAGACATTAAGTTGTGCTGAGAATCAATGGGATGCAAGCTGTGAGATGCTTGAATTCATAACAGTGAGAGGGATGTTGGTTCCTCACCCTCCTTCTCCTCCCCTTCCTCCCATGGTATGTCAATCTAGCAGCCATCAGCACTATGTAGGGTGAGGAGAAGGAGCTTCTATTGACCTAGTGTAGGTCCATGATCCAAGACAAGCTCTACCTGATGACTGATTTCCTCTTTCTACTGTGGCCAGGCTGCCCCAGAGCAGATGTTGCAAGGATTTTCTTCAAGTGGAGAAAGCAGAGGTTGTGGAGAAAGTACTGGAGAAGATGTGCCGAGTCCTGGTTCAGCACCGTATCTGTGACAGCGGTGCTCCCTCCTCCATTACCTCCCGTGTCCCAACTGTCACTGTGGTTTGATTTTTCTTTCCAGGAGGACTTTAGGTGAATCAGTTGAAGTCAGAAGTGCCTGACTTCCCAGTGTGGGTAGCAGCACCCCCCTGCCTTGTAGTGGTGCTGGCAAACCGCCCTGATATCCTCAGCTAGAGCCTGTGAATTATTGCTGCTAATGCTAGGGCATGCCTTAATGACTGTTTTCTCCATCTTTCATCTTAGTTCCTCTAACTCTCAAAGCTGAGAGCCAGCAAAGGGATTTTCAGTTGACCATGTTTCTCCCACGCATCCCAGTGAGTGGCAGTAGCAGCAGCCCCTCCAGCAGGGTCAATCCTTCAGTGGGAGCCTCTGTTAAACATTTGGTGGCTCTTCACACCAGAAGAGGACCTTGGCCCAAAATTGCAGTCTCAGCCATTAAATTCTGCCTCCCTAAAATCCCCCTGCTTTTCCAGCTTGACTCCATGAACCAAATTCATTTGGGCAGTAAATAGATAAAGGCCATTAAAACCAAAGGCATTTGCAGCCATTTACACCATTTCCCCCCCTCATTTTTCCCCTAGGGAATGTTTATCTTCTCATGCTGGTTATGTAGTTGCTGCCTTGGCGGTCGCTGCGTTACGGAGTGCTTCCAAGAAGAAACCTAAACCTGAGTGTCCCTAGTCACATAACTGCCCGTCAGGCCTTCCCCTTCTCTCCTTTTAGTATCCTTGTGGTTATGGGTATCACAGGATGGCTGGGGTGGCCCAGCTCAGGGCTGAGTCACGATGGGCCTCGTCCCTCAGTGTGACGCACGGAGGGGTGCACGCAGCCCGTCCCTGCCTGTGCCCCGTTCACAGAGGGGACAGCAGGGACAGCTGCCGGCCACAGAGCACAGACTGTGAGCACACAAACCTGCTCCCACTGTGCTCACCTTCCTTTGCTTCCACAGTTAAAGCAGGGCAAACTGGGTGGGGACTGTCACCATCCAGTTGGGTTGTTCCTGTTTACCTTAACAGAGGTTGAAACTGAAACTTGCTTGGGACTAAGCTGAAGGGAGAGGGATTTAAACTGCAGTGGAAGAGTTCATGCAACCTTTTCTACCAGCTTAAGTTGTTTATATGAAGGTTAACTCTTTCAATTAGGCCAAGGTGTGTTTCCTGAAGAACAAACCCATCCCTTCAGCATATGCCATGGTAGCCCCAGAGCCACTGGTGTGTCTTCCATGTGCAATGGAAATGGGCAGTGATCCCTGAGCTCACCACCTGGCCTCTGGAAAACAAAGCATTGTGGCTGTGCTGGCACTGGAATTTGGTCTGGGGGCGGTGTGTCCTTGTGCAATGCCCCCAGAGAAACATGGCTTTTGGGAGCAAATGTAGAAAAATCTGCAGGTGGTGCTGCCTGCTCTGTGCCATATGGAAGCAGCAGCTCATTCTGCTACATAGTGCCTACGTGTCAAAATGATGGCATGAGGTGAACAACAGATGGAGGGAGTCACCTGGCTGTGAGGGAGTAATGCAGTGACAGGACCATGGCTGTGACTTGTAGTGAAACTTTTGGCCTCTCCTTTCTGCAAAACACGTTGTGCTAGCCTTGTCTGCACTCAGAGCTGTGTCATTTTAGCAGTCCTGCTGCATCCTATGGGTCCATTTTTTATAGATATGGGTAAGGCAGGAACTTGCAGGACATAGACACGCTCCAGGGAAGGTTTCATCTATGGCAGAACCAGGGTGATGGTGCCAGTGTCCTGTGCCACTGCCCTTTCTCCTTCTTGCTGTCCTCCCATTTCCCCCCTTTGTCAGCTCTGAGGTTCTCTGTGCTGGACCTCCAGCCCAGCCCTGTTTGATGTGCCTGGCATTTTTTGATGTGGTGGTGTGGCCATGGCTGCACACTGGTAAGGTGGGAAAGGGGATCCTCCTCTGCTTTGAGAGCGACTAAGAAAATAACTTCAGCACCAGCACCACTTGTCAGGCAACCCTGCTACCTCTCCCTTCAAGGGTAAATAAAGGACAAGAGGAAATGGCCTCAGTTTACAGCAAGGGAGATTTATGTTGGATATTAAGACCACCACCTTTGTGACCAAAAGGGTTGTCAGGCATTGGAAATAATGAAATAAACCCTCTGCCAGTCCTCTGTGAAGGACATAAGAGTCCTGGGTAAAAATCACTGGAGAAGTGTTAACCTCTCCTCCCAGCATCCTCTGTCACTGAGTTACTCAGAGTCATGGATTAACTCCACCCACACAGGGTCAATCTCTCCCTGGCACTACAGCACCATACCCTAAATCAGTCTCTGCCTTCTCCCAGTGGGTGACACACCCTGTTGGGTGGCTCTCTGCCCTGGTAAAAACGAATGTAGATGTAAGAAAAGACTGTGAAACCCCAGAATGTGTCTTCAGACAATGTGTTTTTTAAAAGGGATAAGCAAATAAGAAGGAAAATGGAAATAATCTGCTAGGTGGCAAGAATTAGTTAGGAATTATTAGGTGCAGTTGGGATGTTTGAAAGGCTTGTCTTCAGAGCCCAGGGTAGGTGATGGGGAAAAGACATGCTGCAGGTGGGTGTCAGGGAGATGTCTCCAAAGCAGTGCCCAAAGGACAGGACATTTTCCCTGGGAAAGCATCCTGAGCGTTTCTGAAAGATGATTCAGCTGGTGACAGCCTTGTACTTCTGGAAACCAGAACAGACTCCAAACCCTGTGAAAAACCAGAGCTCTGCACTTGTTAAAAAAGTACAGCTACTCTCATTACAGTTTCCAACATCCTCCTTAGGTAAGAGGAATTATTTTAAAATGCTGTTGAAGAGCAAAACCAGAAGTCTGATTACAAGTGGCAAGATGAGAATATCAATGTGAAGTTGAATCACCAAAGTGAGACTGAGATGCAGGCTTAATTCTTCTTCTTTTAATGTTTAAATATGTGTCATGTAGTCTGACATTATCATTAATAGTCTGACATGTGAGCAGCCATCTTCCTCAGGAGGTTTCAGGGTTTCAGTACGTGTTTCAAAATGTACAAGATATAAGAAAGAAGAAAGGGAAAACTTTTCTTTTTGCAGTAAAAATTCCATCGGGAGCACATTCTTTTATTGTGAAGTATTTAAATAACAACCAAAAAAAAAAAATAAAAGAAAAAAGAAAGGAAGAAAGCATTAGCTTGGCAGGCTGAGAGTTTTGTCCAGTCCTTAATCTGAGGATAAAAAAAAAAAAAAAAAGAAAAGAAAAAAAAAAAAAAGAAAAAAATGTCTCTGGTTTTATAGTTCTATGAAAAATACATCTTAAAAAGCAGCAATTTGAGAATATAGGCAGGCGAGGAGAGGAAAAGTGAGGAAAGGCTGCTGAAACACATGTCTATTATTAGTGAAAAGAACTGAAATTTCTCCAGCATTAGGAAAACCCTGTAGCATTTCTAAATACCCATAAAATGTACAGTGGGAGTTGTAAGAACCTGTAAAGTTGGTGGTCTCTCATCAGTGGGTTGTTTTAAAGCTATTTGGAGACTTGGCAAATGTGCATGGGCAGGATTATGAAAGTCCTCTTGGATAGTATGAAACTGAGGAGGGATAGTGAAATGAGATAGGAAATGAGAATTATTCACACACAATGTAAATTGGAGTCATATCTGTCATTGACTTAAAACTGTATTTCTTTTTAAATGCTTATTTTTTACTTGACACAGTCAATATGCATTTAGAGGAAAAAAGTGCTTATGACAGTCTGCAGCTCAGTTTTGTTCTCTTAGCCTGAATGATGAGATTTAAGTGTCCTCTCTTCTCTTCAGCTGTAACCGTGATCTGAGGTCTGTAAAATATGTTTTGTCAGTCTATCTCAGCAAAGAGCAAAGGGTGAATGCCTTTGTTGCCTGTTCACCTCTCCATGTGGAGGATGTTGCTGCTGTCCTGTGGCTTTTCTGTCTATCAGAAAGAGGTGCAATGATACCCAGAGGCAGAAAAAATGAGGCTTGTGAGAAGAACAGTGCAGTTATGCCAAACATAATGATTGCTTGCAATACAATGCATGAAAGAATAGTGGAGTCTATACTGCTTGAATTGTATAAATAAAAACTGGACACATTTCAAAAACAGATTATACGTTTTAAGATGGGGACATGATGCAGGAATTACTGTATGAATTGTGTGGAAAGCTGGACTAAATAATCATACAGGTTCCCTCTAGCCCTACCATCACTGAATGTCCAACAGATATCTGACTTTCTGATACATCACCATGCTTCTTGGTGGGAGACACTGGGTCCTCAGCAGTGTTGCAAATCAATTTGGATCTGCACTCTGCTGCAGGTGGAGAGGCTCAATTTTATAAAGAAGTAGTGTTGTTTAAAGTTAAAAGAAACTGAAGTTCTCAGCCTAGCCCTAGTGGAAGTACTACCTTACCCAAACCAGTGTCTCAGTGCCTCCCTCCAGCTAAGGCAGGGCCATAAATGTGTCCCCAGGGACCTGTCAGAGGCTGAGCCACGCTGTGGCAGCTTAGACAGGGCCCCTGGGGCCATCGAGGACAAGGACAGCTCACCCAGGGACTTCAGCAAGGGCAGTGCTGGCTCCAAAATTTCTTGGGTGTGAGATGTAGGGGAGGCTGAATAGCTGGGTAAGGACCTGCAAAAACCTCAACTCTTTCTCCATCTGCGAGCCAATGCACTGATTTATGCACAGTTGCACTGGCAGCTGGTCTGGCTTCAGCTCCATCTGACCTCATACATCATTAAAACCAGTAAAAATCCTCCCATTTGTTTGCTTAGGACCTGTGTGAGGCTGGGAGGTTGTTCCTGTGGTCAGGAGAGGGGTTGTGTGTGGAGATGGACATGAGGTATAGTCCCATCTCTGCCAAAATCCCCTAGTGGGCTGTTCCCTGTAGTGTCCCTGGTCTCCCGGATCCTGGTGAGCAGCAGTAACCTGTCCTGCCTTGCCCCATCCCACCTCCTCACTGTGCTCCCTGTCCCCTACTGCACCAACAAGATGCCCAGTATCACCATTAGCTCAAACTTAGTCACCCCATGTACACACAACATTCTTTAGGCTTTTCTCTTTTGAAGTTTCAGGTCCCCTGGAAAAAAAAAAACAACAAAAAACAAGTGAAAAGGATGAGGTCTGAAGATATTAAAATCTTTCACTTATTGTTCTTTTCTTTCAGAAAAAGGACAGTTAACCTTAAATTGGACATAGGTACAGGACAGACTCTCTTTTAGTTAAAACCTATAAATTTTGGGTGGAAGTTTACTTTTGTGGGTGAGGGCAAAGCAAATATTTGTTTGCCAGATTTTTCAATGATGGCTGTTGACTGTGGTTTGCCAGGTCCCAAGAATTCCCAGTGACTCTTAGTGGTTATATAGAAAGTGTGCAATTAGAGGCATATTTATTCCAAAGTCTCTGGTCAGATTCTGCAGGTGTAAAAGAGCTTTTAATGGTGAAAAGGGAAGAGTACTATCACTGACAGCTTCACTTACATGAGCTAATGTGCTCACATCTCCAGTGGGCTGTTCCCACCATGGTGGAGAAATTGAGGTTTTGGGAAGGTAGAGGATGCTTAGAGAGGCTCCTCTTCCTGGAGATCTTACCATCTGCTAAAGTCTATTATAGTCTTCTATTAATCATTCATCAGAAAGGCTGAATTTTTTATTAGAGTATACCAATGGCGTATTTTTCCACAAAATCTCACATAGCACCTTGTCTCTGGTTAAATTTGAACTTCATGTTGGGATACATTTCTGTAGAGGCATGTTAGTGAATAAGGACATGGGGTCCAGGGTTATTCTGCTATGATTTATCTTGAAATCATAAAATAGAAAGATTCTAAGAAACTGTAAATAATAATAATAATAATAATAATAATAATAATAATAATAATAATAAAGGAAGAAGCACATTGAGTGCAGAGTGGTGGTACCTGTGGTACATCACTGCAGCTTCTGGCAGTCAGCAGCTAAGGGATCTCCTGAGGCTGAGTTTGGATTATGGTGTTTAACAGCCCTGCTGCCATCATTACTGTTTTAAGCCCATTTGTACTAATTTGTAATTTTTAGTGCCCATGACAGTCCCATAACTCATTTGTGAGAGAAATGTCCTTTTTTTCTGTTCTTAACTTTGTGTCTCATAATTTCATTAGTGTCTCTCTGGCCCTTGAAGTTTTGAGAAATGGTGCACAATTATTTCCTGTTCACCTTCTCCATGCAAGTCATGACTTCACAGACCTCTCTCAGATCCCCTCTGCTGTATTTTTCTCCCAAGATGAAGGGTTTTAGCCTATTCTGGCTCTTTTGTCTGGAAACTGTTCCCTGTCTCTGGTGTCTTGTTGTGCTTCCTTGTCTTTTGTAGTTCTGCTCTATCCTGTGTGAGATTGACGCATTGGAGCTATGTGCAAAAATTTGTGATATTGCTCTAAAGTCCTTTCCTACTAGTTTTCAATTTTCTCTTTGCTTTTTTAATTCTCATGGAGCACTAAATTCTTATTTTTAGAAAACCATCCAGGGTAGCTCTTACCTTGAAATTTTTCATAGGTTCTCACATTTGTAAAGCCAAGGGAATGGCATCACTCACAACACCATTCCCTCAGTGACAGTCCCAAAAACTCAATTTGTGAAACAGGATTTCCTCCTGCAGATACAACATTTGACTCTTCCACATTACACCTTGCTCTCTGCTGTCTCTAATGTTCTTTTTTAGAATGTTGATCAGTTTGCCTTACACAGAATCACACTTGTGTGTTTTCGTTCCTTCTCTGGAACCTGCTTTTTCATTCTGCATTACATTTATTGCTTTTGTTCTTTTGGCATAGGCTGATTTAAACAGCAGGCTGGCTTTGCACCACAGATAACCATTCAGCAATTTCCTCTCTGGATTTCCATAGAGCTCTTGGGTGAATGCTGACTGGCCTTGCAGATTGGTCTCATTCATTTTATCAGTTTGTTTGAAAATCTTTTCTACTGACGCTTCAGTTTGAGGAATCTCTTCAGATGTGTTCTCCAGGAGGAAAGGCTGCAGGGTGGGATGCATCCTCAGTATTTATTTGACTTTGCTGTCATGAGATAATGTGTCTTGAGTGCTCATTTGTCACATATTGATCATCTATCAGTCTGAACAGCTGTCTGGAAAACCACTTGCTTTGAGGCAGCTTTTGTTATTAGCTTTCAGAGCTTTAGAAAATTGCTTTTCAGAAGGTTTTTTAATACATTTATATTGACTTCTAACATTGGCTTACCTCTGTGCACATTTCTTCCATATTCCCTTTCTGAACTTCATTCCCATACTTTGCTTCTGATAGACTTTATTCTGTTGTTCACTCTACGAACATTTAGGTACTGTTTAAATAAAATCTGTGAGTCCTGAAACCATTTGACTCCTAACTTTCCATTTCAGCTTCCTTTCAGTACAACTCTTCAGTTTTGTGTTACTGCCTGTCAGCATGCTGAAAGTAGAGAAAAAGCTCAATTACTTAAAATATGAAAGATGTGACTGGTAACCAATACATCAGTTTAATGCAGGACTTGGGTTAGTACTCGTCAGTAAATGTCTTCCTACATTTAATATGATATAAAATACAACCCCTGCCAAAATTCAAGGCAGTTCTGCAATACAGTTTCTCCACTTTGGCCTCCTAACATGTTTCACAGCACATAAATGCATACTCTGTGGGCATTATCAACTTTCTGACAGTTTGGTCTGTGAACTTCTCACTTCTATCCTGATCAGGGCCCTGTGGAACAGTGTACCAAAAGAATACAGGGAAAGAAAAATGCCACGATTAGGCAGGGCTCAAAAGAAGTGAATGAGAACAAATGTGCTCAGTGGATATGAATTTGAAGAATACAGTGGTCTGGATAAACAAGATGATGGGCCAGAAATTTGGCCAAAATACATCTAGGAACCCCTTCAAGAAGAAAATAAAACTTTAGCCTGGCATTAAGTTGAAGATTGGGAAGAGCAATGACATAGGGGAGGACCCAGGACAAGGATGGAATGGAAGTCAGGGAGATGTGAATCAGGGATAGGAGAGGTCATGCTCAGGAGATACAATCCCAGCCCAGAAGGATGGTGAGGAGCAGAAAGCAGTGAAAAGGACTCCTTGAACAGTGACTGGTTGAGATAAACCTGCAATCAATCGTTCAAGAAAACACCCAGGTGCTTAGGCACTTTTTTTTCCACCCTGGCTGCAGAGCTCAAAACTAAGGCAGAAGTCAGCAGCGGTATGGGAAATATTTTGGGATACAGCCAGAGAGGACATGAGAGACAGTGACACAGAGACTTCAGGTTCCATGAATAACTCTGAAAATGGGCTGTGAGTAGTGCCTTGCTGTACTTGCCTGTGTTTGTGAAACATGTTGATATTTATTCATGGTATCAGTGGTGTCACCCAAAGCAAAAATAGTCACAGAGTTAACACATGTGAGTTCGAGCAATAGCTTATCAGTGATATTTCTGGGCTTCTCTAAATGTAACGGGATCAACTTCTTCCTAGGTGTCCAGATGTTTTGTTGGAATGTGTTCACTGCTGGTTGAGTGCTTCTTCAAAGGATGAACACCTTCCAGCAAAGCTGTAGAAAGCAGTTTTCTAAATAAAGTCTTGCACCTTTAGGCATGATCCAAAACTAACTTTCCATTGGTTTTCAGAGGCTTTTAGATTAAGCCTTATATGCAGATTTGCCAGTGCTCTCTGATGAAAAACAGTGAAGGATGTGAAGTGCCAGATGGCATTAAGTGGATTTTATTGGGTTTGGAGGTAATGCAGAAACCCTAAACTGAGTGGACCCAGAAATTCTGGCTGCTGAAGTGCGATTCCCCATCTGTACTGAACATCAAGGTGGCTCAAATAAAGGTCAGGGACCCACATTACCGTTCTCTGTTCCACTGGTGGCTTATAAAATATTTTAGGATGCATTGAGTGGGCTGTATAGGAACAGACTGACTAGTTTAGCAGATGTCAGCACTAGAAGAATGTCTGCCATGATCTGGTGTCTTGTCCTTTGATAGCTGTTCAAAGAGCAGGCAGGAAATTGCACTGCTGAAAAATAAATTGGATATTAGCACACCAGAAAGAGCTGATAATGTTTCTCTTTGTGATACCCGGGCTGAGCTGATCAGAAAGCCAACCTCAGCTGCCCTGAAACAAGAGCCTAGTGAAATATGTGCTGTGGCCCTGACTCCAGTTTTCATGTGGACATTTTTATTCCTCTGCTTTCCACCCACCTTTGAGCAGAGCCAAACATGATGCACAGTCAAACAGGACATAGAGGCTCTTTAATTTTCACATTCACCCTAACTTAAAACCATTTTCCTGCTACTGATTGCTCCTAATGACATTCAGAGCCCCTGGTGAATTCCTGAGATAGTAATTTGCTTTCAAATCCACAGATATATCATGATAAGTATCAAACATGGTCACAATCAAGGTGGAAATGGGATGAGAGGAAAGCATAGAATCATTATGAGGATCTATTATGGAGCTTACCTGGAAGGGGGGATAATAAAGATTTCTCTATTTAAAGGTCCAGATGTCTGTGTTCCAACTGATATTTAAAATACATACTATGCACTGCAGTGGGCTAGGCAAAAGAGCATTTCCAGGGCTGCTGCAAAATATTTACCTCTTAAATGCTTTCTGTCACAAAATTCCTTTGTGGATTAAGCAATTTTTTTTTTCCTTGAGAAGTGACTGTTTCTGGCATGAAATTTCAAATGTTTACTGAAGTTTTATATCTAAAAGCAGAAAGTTTATTTTTAGCTGTTTCTATTTATTTTAAGTAAAAGTCAGAATTATTGTGAGAGAAGAAAACTTGATTTTCAGACCAACTTCAGTCCATTCACTGTTCCAGATGAAGAAGACCCTGAATAATGTAATTTTGAGGCATCAAGCTCTGTGTGAACATTAGAAACTCATAATAGGGTCTTGACTGTTACAAGACTTCACTCCCTGTCATGAGAGAGACTGGAGAAAAACTGGACATGTACGAAGCCTCTAACAACAATTTCTGACAAGCTCCTAAAACCAGTGAAGTTGAAGTAACGTGTCCATGTTAAATGTATGAGGGCCTTTAGTGTGAAATATTTTCAGTCATGAAGGCTCTTGGAGAGGTTGGTTGAGTGACTCCCATTCTTGATGGTAGAGACTTGATGGGTTTCCAAAATTTCACTTGCTCTCCTTTCACAAGCTCTAGGTGCCTGCTGCTGCTGAGTCAATTCACCCTCTTCAGTGCCAAATCCTGAGGCCTGCATGAACCAGAAAAGTAGTTTGGCAAGGTATGAATTTGAGAGTATCTTTCTCTTTGGAGATAAGGGTTTGTGCAAGATATAAAGACACTTGGTGGAAGGGGAAACCCAGTTCTGGAATAGAGAGAAGTGTTTTTGCACATCCTCATATGATGGTGGATGTGTTGTTTGAGACTGCTCAGCCACAAATCCTGGGGAAATTCAGGTTTTTAAGTTCCTTCCAGAGCTTCTTGTGGGAGCTGAGCCTCCAGCCCTGAGGTTCACAGTTGAGATTTGCCTGAGAAAATGACTGCTCCTTTTCCCTGTCATCTCTGCTACCTTCAAACACTGACAGGCCCACAGACCTGCCCCCCATGGGGCCCAACCCAGCCCTGATGCTGTGCCCGGTGCCCACAGAGTTGGGGTACGTGTCTCCAGGCATGGCACATTTGAAGTATTCATTGTTTGATCATTTGGTTCCACAAACAATCCTGCTCCCTCTGCAGGAGGAATTATCCTGTTTTCCGTCAGTTGATTTTGGATCTTCCCACTGAGAAGCGATCCCAGCAGTGAAGAGCTTCTTAATCCCATTACTGCAGAGCCGTTCTGAATAAACTGACCCATGGGGTAGAGGCTGTTGCTGCTGAAAGGCTGAGCACAAAAAGGAGAGGTTTAGTTTCTCCTGGGGTTGATGCACAGCCTCTGTTTTGCTGCTGAATTCCCATGTGCCATGGAGGGACCCTGCTTTGTGCCCCTGCCCCAGAGGATGAGAAGGCAGCACCTCTTGGCTCTGCATTGTGCAATTGTCTTGGCCACTGACATGTTGGGTCTGCGGGGGGAGCTGCTAGAAGTGATGTGGGAAGCTCAAACCTGAAGTCATCCTTCTCTGCTTGCCAGCATGAATCATTAAATCATTTGCTTTTGCAGGCTGTGGCCAACTGTAAGCACCCGTGGAAAGGGAGAATTCACTCTCCTTCTGCCTCTGCAGCCACACGGGGCCAGATCCTAGCCTGGTGCCAGTGGCTTAACACTAATGATATTCATTTTTTTCAAAACTAAGGAAAAAGTGGGTTCTATTTGTTTATTTAGTTTTTTTTCCCCCCTCAAATATGGTCTCACCCAAAATCTCTTCATGGTATTGTATAAAGTGCTATTTGGGAAGGATCAAGAACATCTCTTGATGTGCCTGAGCACCTTTCCAGAGATGCCTCCCACTTTCCCACCTTGGCAATATAGGGTAAGAAGGGTAAAGAGAACAAGAAGTTCCTGCATGCAGCTGGAACTCCCTCTTTTACACAGAGGATCTTTTCTCCCTGGCACCTGCTGGTCTGCCAGGAAGTGTCCTGTGTCTGCTGAAGATGAAGCTGGGCTGCCACAGATGGCTATGGGTGAGCTAAAGCTGTCAGACCTGGTTTTGGTTTCTGTTGGATGATCCTTCTGGCAGTGGGAAGGAGGAATTTGTTGAGAAGATGATTTTGTTTAGATTCAACAACTTTCCTAAGCACAAGTTCCTTCAGAAAATCCAAAGATGATGGCAAGCAATGGCTTTGTTTGATTATCTCATCTCACTTCCTATTTTTGAGTGGAAACAAAGTGATTCTTTTTCTCTCAATTACTGAGACAGCCTTCTTTAATGCCAGGCTACAAAGGTGGAAAGGTACAACAGTGACAAAACATAGAAATACCCCAGCAGGCTATGGACACAAAAATATAGAGAAATGGCTTGAGGTGTAGAATAACCACAACTGGCACATGACTTATGGATTACACCCGTCATATGATCAGCCCTTAGCTAGTTATAAATATTATATTAGAAGTATTAGTGAAACCAGATGGGTTGCAACCAGTCCAAAATGTGGTGAGCCTGCGGCCTGAAATAAAGAGGGATGAAGCACAATGCTTTGGCATTAAAAATCATCATCATGCAAGAACCAAGAACTGATGAGGAAAAAGAGGAAAAGTCACATAGCTGGCTGTGCTGTGCAGATGATGCTTGGGAAATAATTTTTCTGCGTCTCATGGCAGCAAAATATATTTCCTAAGAGTCTGCAGCCCATGTTGGATGTTTCATCCTGATGCTAATTAGCTCTGGTAATTAGTCAGATTGCTCTTATTTTGGGTGGCCAGTGGAAGAGGAGAGAATGTGGAAGCCATCACCCATTGTGTGTTTCCTGCAAAGGGGCTGGACATAGCAGGACTTTTCTTCTGGATGTGCCCGGATTGCTCGAGGCTGGTGCTCAGGTTGTTGTAGAGGGAGTGATAAAATAGGTAAATGCAGCTTTGTCCATCAGTGCCTCCTTCCCTGACCCCTTCAGATGCTGTCCCTCACGTCTTAGAAGGTTTTAATCCCCAAATAGTCAGTGCCTGGTGCAGCTCTTGCCTTTGGCTACTGAACACACTTCACATCTCCTGTTGTCCCTGTGTTAGCTCTTCTCCCAGAATTTTTTTCTGGCCTTATCTTTGCTTGGAGGTTCCCAAACATTCAGCAATTGCATCATGAGACCCTGAGAGCCTCATCAGCTCCAGAGGCTGGCCCAGGAGCACCAGGAGCACTGAGCACCCCACGATCCGGGCCTGGTGGAGCGCAGCAGGCCGCACACCTTGAGCCGCGGCGAGGAGCATAATTATGATGCATTAGGTGCACCAGCATTTGCAGCCAGCCCCGGGGTTACCCGCGGGGAGGCTGATTTATCCCTGCTCCCAGGGACGGGGCGGACAGCGATCCGGCACCAGAGCGCTGTCGCCGGCTGTTAGCAGCTCGGGGTCGCGCAGGTGCACGGCCAGCCCCGTGTGACAGCCCGCAGCCCGCACAGCTGACAAAATATGCCCGGCATCTGGCACTGTCCCCACGTCTGGGCCTCCGGCTGGCATGCCAGCCCCGGCAGCCGGTGCCTCCCAGCGCGCCCGGGCCTGGATCCTTACACAAACACACCGGGGCGGCTGCAGGAGCGCTGCCAGCCACGGATTTGGCCCTGTCGTGCAAAGCAGCTCTCGGTCGTGCTTCCAGCCCTGTTTGTGAGGTCCTCAGGAACCTCGCCTGTGCCTGCACCTCGCCCGCTTCCCCCAGCCAAATGTGAGTCACCCACCTGGTCCTCCAGAGATGCCGGGCTCTCCACTTGGTCCCTGGGCAGGTCCCTCTGCCTGCTCTTGTCCCTCTCCAGTCCTGCTGAGAGGCTCATGGAGGTGCTGGGGCTTGCAGGCTTGGTGAGGACTGGTTGCATCCATCCTGCCCCAGCCATCAAGGGGAAATTACCTGGCAACTCTCCTCATCCCCCATAGCGAGGAGCTATGGGTTAGATGACTTTAGATGAGCTGCTGGGTTAGATGACTTTAGGCTGTGCCCTTGCCTTGGTGGGTTGTTGAGGGCTGTACGCATTTGCAGCAATACATGGATACAAATGACTAATAATAGGAAAGCATGTGCTAGGTCTACGTCCACTCCTTTCCGTCCCAAAAAGGAATGGGCTCTCTCCAAGAGCCCTAACCTTGTCTTGAAGGCCAGGTCAACATGCTTTGCTGATGAGGTGGCCTGAATTTCATCTCCCTCATATCACTTTTGGTTCTTGGCAGACGTGAGAGTCCGTTGCTTATAATACAACTTACCTCTTTAAAGGGCTGTTCATTTGAAAGGCCTTTAAAAAGAAGCCAATAAAATTATTTCCATGTTCCAGATGGGGAAACTGAGGTACAGGGAACAAAACTGACTTCCCCAAGTTACACAGTAGCACTGAGGCAGAAGCAAATGGCTCAGTCCTGCCTGCCTCTGTTGGCCACCCTGGCTTGATCTGCAGCCGTGGAACACAGGGTTGGGTGGCAGAACTCACCTGTGACATTTATCCTTTGGGGCGATTGAGTGTGTCCCTGCTTTCCTTCCTCACTGCCCATCAGTGCTCCCTTGCACCACACTGAGGGTGTTCCTGGGAAGAAGGAGGCACTTGCAGGCAATTAAGAGTCGAGGTTTTATAGTCAACTACAGCACCTACAGCAGTTATATGGGCTGGACACACTGGTGTGATACTTTTTACAAGAATGAACTACGTGGAAAGGGACTTGGTGAAATGTTTTTTTTTTCCCCTAATACATTGTCAGGAACTTGGTATTTTGTTAAATAATGGTTAAAGATACTTCATGATAAAACCAAATAATTGTCACCGTTGCTGTGCATACACTTTGTGTGAGACAGTCTCTTTCCTGAGACTAAGAAAAGCACAGCAAGGAAAAGTTACAATATCCATTTGACATTAGCAGGATCTGGGGAAAGGAGATTCTTCTCAGAATCACACAAGAAACTGGTGACTGACCTGAGAATGCAATCCATTTTAAATAAAGCCTTGGTCCAGTGATCTAATGACCAACTCTTGTTCAAAGTATGAATCTTAATAAGATGAAAATGGATGCAGAAAAGGAGAGTGATGGAGGCCTTGAATGCTGAGGGCATTTTTGTTCATTCTCCCCTATAGCTGGATCAAGAGGCTGTGTCACTGGGCACCACAGCACGACAGTGCCAGGTCAGGAGACATCAGAAGAGCACAGGTACAGACCCTGCTTAGGAGAGCCCTCAGGGATTCCTAGCTGCTGTCCAAAGCTGTGGTTTGCCTCTGAACAACCATACTTTCTCTCCAATTTTTTCATGGATTGATTAGATTTATCTTTGCAGTAGTTCTCCTCTCCTCCTTCTGCAGCATCAGTCTCTTGGGTGGCGTTTTCCTGTGGAGTGGTGACATTTTGGTGGAAATTGGGCGGGTGTGGTGGTGGTGTTTAACTGTGAAAATGCTTCAGAGTGGGACTGAACCCGGCAAGTCTGGAGTCTCAGGTAAAACCTGGTCTTTGGGTTTGCTTTCACGAGAGATACCCTTCCTCTCACACATTGGGTTTCATTCATATGGATGGAGAAGGCAACAACGAGGGCAATTTTACTTCTCCTTTTTACCTCTGGAGAGTTGCCACGGTCGACATCAGCCCATCATGTGCTGGTGACTGTGCTGCATTCATCTGCTGACTGAACACTGATTTCCCCTGTTAGCAAAAAAGGCAGATCCCTAATGCTGCTGCTTACTGCAGGTTAGGCCACCACCTCCCTTAGAGCCTCTCCTGCTGGGACACTTTCCCTCCCTGGCTTATTTGGGCTCTGTGTGCAGCCTGACACTCTGCACAAATGATACAGCAGTGAAAAACTACAGATGTGCAGACAAAAATGCCTGTTGGGTCTTTCCCTCCTCCTGTGCTGTGGGGAGTTAATGGACATTGTTCATTAGGGGAAATTTTCTTTTTGTCTTTTACCTAATTTCTCCATTCCCATAAGAATATTGACCTTGAAAAAAAAAAAATCATATGGTTTCCCCAAAATATAAACAAAACTCTCTTCTATGGAGTTTGATACTTGTCACTGGAGGAAAAAAGATATTCTGTTTTGCTGGAGAGTATTTTTGGAGGTGCTGCTGTCCCATCCTCCTGCCCCATCCCCTCCTTGGGGCTGCCCACTGCCCTGGCACTGTGCTGCATCTGCTGCCTTGTGCATGGATTCAGGATCCAGGCAGGATTCAGCCTCATCCATCCCAACCACTTCTGCCAGATGTCACCGCTGTGCAGCTCAGCAGACCCACGGGGGTATTCCTGCAGGAACGTGCCTTTCAGAAATACCATTCTCCAGCACCCCAGCCTCAGAACTGCTGGCGCTCTGTTTGCCTAGGAGGGAAAAAAAAAAAAAAAAAAAAAAGCAAGCAACATGCACACAGAAGGAAAAAAAAAATAAAAAAAATCTGAAGGCATCCAGTTGCTCCTGGGCAAATTGCCAGTGATTGAGTGACCTGCTGCTTCCCCAATATTGCATTCCGCTGGCATGTCTTTAGCCCTGGCTGACGCCAGCCATCTAACTCACCCCCAAAGCAAACATTTCCAGTTGGCACTGCTGCCTTGTTTTTCTGAAGAACCGATTCATGCCTCCCTTAAAAGTTTTACTATATCCATTTTTTTTCTATTTTTTTTTTACTTTTTTTTTTTTTTCCCCTGGTGTGTGGAGCCACCGGGGAACGGCTGCTGCTTCAGGGATTTCTCCTTAAAATATAGGAGAAGAAAAAGAGAGAAGGGGAGGGGGGGATTTTTTGCCACCTCCCTTTTTAGCAAGCATGATAAATCCATTCAGAGCGCTCGTTGTGCGCGAGTGTGGAAACCTTCTGCTAAAAGAGTTATTCTGCTCTCATTCACAGATAATTGCTCCCCGAGGGGCCGGGCAGAGAGCGAGGAGCAGAGACTGATAATCCGGGAGGACATAGATACAAATATCAGGCTGCTGCGCTGAGTGCCTGCTTAATTTATTGGGAACGAGCTGTTACTCAGCACTTTGCAGGATTAGACCCGCTGTAATTCTGGTATTTAAGGAGAGGCAGAGCCGAACCACAACAACAACCCACCCGGGGCCGCTGTGGAGACGGGCGGCGCTGGAGAGGAGCACATGCTGGTTTATTTTTTACGCTATGGAAAGAATGAGCTTTTAGGACACAAAGTCCTGGCGAGGGGGAGGTGGGAGGGGAGTGAGGGGACAGCCTGGCTCCGTGCTGGCCGCCCCAGCCCAGGGCTGCTGCTGGCAGCCGCTGGTGCCGGACAGGTGGGGACAGCGCCCAGGTGACAACCGGGACCACCACCAGTGCCTGCTGGCTCCCGCTTGGAACACAGAGTGTTGTGTTGATTGTATCTCATCGTGTAGTGAACCAGCACCCCTCTGGTGGGCTGTTCTTATCTAGGACTTCACCAAAAAAAAAAGAGAATTCAGCCCCCTTCCGTCTTCAAGTTTTCCTTGGGCTCTCTCTGCATCCTCGAAATCGGTGTAAATTACCCAGCAGGATGCCAAGAGGCTTGAACAGAGTAAAGAAAGGTGCCTTCTCTTTGTCTTCTCTGTCTTGGCCTGATGGACCTCTTCTTTCATACTGTATTTGGTGCAATTATCTGAATTTTCACTAGCCAGTGAAAAACCCCCACCTTCTGGGAAACCAAAGGCCTGGAAAGAAATGTTTAGACTTTCTGGCCCAGTTGGAAGTTGGAGTGACATTAAAATACAGTGGCCTTTTCTGTAGAAGGTTTCTCTCTTTAAGGAAAATAAATGTATTTATCCAATTGTCTATTAAAGCATCTAACAGAACAAGCCTGAACATGACACTCTGCTTTTCCATGGGATGGTCAAACAAGGACTCTCTGTGGAGTAATTTGGGCTATCTACTTCTCCCAGGTGCCTGGGAATGTTTCTCACTTGAGGTGTATTTTGAGTACCCATTCAGCCGGGAAAAGAAACTCAACGACCTCTTAAAAACTCATTTTCTCCTTGGGCACATCTTGACACAAACTGTCAAACAAGAAGCTCCCACTCTGTCCATTTTACAGGTGGGGAAACTGAGGTAGCATGGAGAACTAGATTGCTTGAGGAAAATTCTGTTGGATAAGGCCGTCACAGAACACTGTCAATCTTTGTTTAATACAGCTGTTGCAATAAGAGAACTGAATGCTACTTCAGGGTTTCTCCACATATCAAATTATTTTGGAAGAGAAGAGGTTTCTTTGTGGCAGAAGGATTAGCGAACCCTCGTGATGCTGGGATAAATACTTGCTTACAATTCCCTTAAATATTTTATTGGGTAAGATTAATGGTGATTTTTGATCTGGAGGCTGAGGGTTAAAACCCTCAACTGAGGATACTTTCCCAGCTTTCTCCAGTTTTCCCTTCAAAGATCAGTAATTGCTCCCCTCCTCCTCTTCGTGATTCTTGAGTGGTTTTTGGCCAAAACGACCCTGTGCTCGTTTCATAGTAGCAGCTAGAAGAAAAGCTGACAGCTATGAGGTAGTAAAGACAAATGGTGGAAGGGAGAGTTTGGGAAAGCGGGTCTCAGGCTGTGCTTATGAGGAGTGATGACAGCAAACCCGTTTCTCCAGCAGAGTGAAATGTGAAGGGGAATACTTTGCTCTTTCAGGCTGCTAATGTAAATAAAAGGCACACAGAGAGACACGGGTAGGTTAACAATCAATTAAAAGCAAATTTCCCTTCCTGTGTGATATTAGAAGGCTGTGGGTGATAGAACATGAGACAGGGATGAGATACCATGGCAAGTCAGAAGTGCAGAGACTTTAAGCACAGAACTGGGAAAATCAGCCCAGCAGTGGGGTTTCCCCTTTGGTTTGCAGTGTCACCTCCTGTGAGTGCTCGAGGGATACCTTTAAATTCATACAAACAATACATTTGATTTCAACAAGAAGAAAAATGATAATGATCCCACTGATGTCTCAAAACAGGCTACAGGCCTGATGTGATCTGGCTGTGTCCCTCAAGCATCTTAATGGTGCTGAAAACATAAGTTCAGTTCCCTGGATATGT